AAATGAAGATCTGAACACGCATTATGAGTCTGAAAATATACTTATTGCAAATTAAAGCTGCAGTCCGGCATTTTTCCTCTTTGTCGCCATCTCTGTTCGAAATCTGCAATTGCAGTCATTCGCGGAATTATCAACTTTACGTGGGTTGTAGTTCAACACCCTCGACACGGCACAGCGCGGATGAACACAGTGTTTGAGGAGAGTGTGCAGCTGACTGTCAGTCACCGCGCCGATGTGGATATTGTCATTCAGAATCACAGATTATTCTTTTTGGAAGTATGACCAACATAAGAATTTTCACCGGGAAATGTCATCTGAACTAGTAAGAAACATTCACTTTTGTTCTGGTTCTGACATTGCAGTAAATCGCGCTGATTAAATCTAACAATTGCTTATAAGTTATCATTTCACGCAAAACCGTGCAAATTGGCTATACTATGTTCTCTAATTGTTAATGTTAACAACGTCAGCAAGCATTGCGTGACTACATCATGTAATGTCCTTCCGATATTATCCTTGTTTTCGCATGGGTCCGGTTGCAGTCTCTTTTTTTCTGTAGCCACTCCGAAGTCCGAACGAAGTCTTTTGCATGTTACAGCGGGTGAGTCTCTAGTTGTCACTGATGATGATCGTCGTTTGAACCTTTCTGGATCCGCCATCAAATTGATAAGTTTAGTTATATCAAGTGCTGTGAGAAAAGGCTATAAATCTCTACCTCCAACATCCTCACACGCAATATAGCTTATACTAGCCGAGACTCCTTCTTTATGTGTACAGATGTGACGTAATGACGCAAAGACATGCTCGAATCTCCCGCGGAAATCCACCAGTACCACTAAAATTAAAAACATTATTACAAGCTTACCGTTTTGCATCGAGCTAAGGCAAGCAGATAGTTTTGAACACTGGCTGGTTATGTATTTTATCAAATATGTATTTTGGATAATTTTTAACCCAAAAAAAGCTACGGACAGCAGCTTTAATAAATTACTGGTCCTGTGTCATTTGTATATTTTTAAAATCATTTCCTGGGAAACTCTATAAGTTCAAAAGATGTGGGAACCCTGCTGTAATATTATTCTCATAATAATAGATAGAATAAATTTGGAACCATTTTTCATCTTGGTTGTTTCTTGGAAACATAGAATGCATATTTTATCTTTTCCATTAACTTCCAAATCTGTTTATTTCTCACTGAAACTTTGTGTTAAACAGTTTTTGTCCCTGCACAACACATCTTCACAATACATGAAGTTTTAAAAGTTCTTTCGCAACTCTGAACACTCTTTCATCTTTTCCCCTGAGCACATATTCTGTTTGACTGACTGTGTGTTATTGACAGGGGGAACCCTCGCCTGGCCCTATGGACTCAGCCAAAAGCAGTCCTCATATAAGCTGGCTAAACAAGCGGCGCATAAAGTCCTTCTACCACACTGTAGTGGCTGATGACCTTCGTGTCGGCGTACAGATGCTGCTGCAGGTCACCTATGCCCCACAATGCACTACTCTTCATGTTCTAACCTCAAAACAAACATCATTTATTTAATTTTTTTAGAGTCTGATGAAGGTATACCAGCAAAATGAGACTGATAGTCTGGTAATGTCTATTCTATTCCAGAGTACGGGTTTGGGTCGGATGAGGCCCAATGTCCTAGTGATGGGATTCAAGAAGAACTGGCGTAAAGCTCAACCAAGCAACCTTGAAAACTATATTGGGATTTTGCAGTATGTATATCATATAGTTTCATATTCCCTCAGTGTTCAATTCTGATGTAGAAAAGTCAAGGCATGTGACAGTTCCATGTGATTTTAGCGATGCATTTGACCTGCAATATGGTGTATGTGTTCTTCGGATGAAGGAGGGTCTTGACATAAGTCGAACAATGCAAGCACATGGTATGGACTGTTTAAAGACTCCCTTTCTAACAATTTCTACAGTTTATGTGCAGTAACGGAATTTTTCTTTTCACTAATAGTCAATCTAGGGTTCGAGACATCTACTGAACAAGGACTTGACACAAGGAGCACAACTACTACTACAACAGCCACAATTGATACATCATGTGTGTATCCAAACTCTTAAATACTGAATCTATTCAAGGCTGTTGGACTCTTCGCCAAAACATGTTATCTCCTGTGTTCCAGTGGACCCTGAGGCACTAATGGCCATGTCCCAGCCCACCAGTGTGTTCCAGACTAGACAGGGAAAGAAGACCATTGATGTGTATTGGCTCTCTGATGATGGGGGTGAGTTGATATTCAAATACTATGTTATTTTTTAAAGATTTTGCTGTGGAAAAACATGGCTTAACAATGCATTGTGTTGTCAGGTCTGACACTATTAGTGCCGTATCTCCTGTCCCGTAAGAAACGCTGGGGCAGATGCAAAGTGAGGTTGTTTGTTGGAGGTGAAGCTCAACAGATCGATGAGCAGAAACAAGAGTATGCATAACCTTAATTGTTATACTATTTGTGGTAACACATGCTACACATATTACATTATATAAATATATTTTACTGTTCAAAGGTTTGAGGTTGGAGTTAATGATTTTGAAACAATTCTCTTATGCTCACCAAGACTGCATTATATTTAAACCTAAAAATATAGTAAAATATTATTACAATGTATGTAATGTATGCCTGTTATGGCAAAGCTGAATTTTCAGCATTACTCCAGTCTTCAGTGTCACATGATCCTTCAAAAATCATTCTAATGTGCTGATTTGGTCCTATAATTTTGGTTTCATGATATTATCACAGGTTTTTTGTGGAAACCAAGATGCATTTTTCTAGGATTCTTTGATGAACTAAAAGTAATTAAAAAAAACAGCATTTATTTAAAAGAAATTTGTAACATTATGAATGTTTTACTGTCACTTTTGATCAATTTAATGCATCCTTGAAAAATGTCAAATTTCTTAAACAAATGTTTACTTCCCCAAACTTTTGAATGGTAAAGTGTGATATATATATATATATATATATCACACTTTATATATGTATATATGTGAGAGTGTTTTATTTTTTTTAAATAATATATTGATTATTAAATATAAAACTAATATTTAATCACATGATGCATACAATAATAATATATTTATTCATATATATCTGTAAAACTATACATCTTTGAAAATTATTAATTGATTTATTTAATAATTCTAACTACATTTATTTAATTGGTCCTATGAATGTCAAAGTCCGTTAAGACAAGCTTGCGTTTGTATTTTGTCAGGCTCAAAGCTTTGATCAGCAGGTTCCGTCTGGGTTTCCAAGATATTCAAGTTCTTCCTGACATCAATGGAAAACCACAGTCTGAGCAGTACAGTCTCATTTATTCTATTCAACTTTTTGCACTGACCTCTTAAATGAATGAATGAATGAATGAGGCATTTATATATGCCTCATTCCATTAACATATGGCCATTGTTACATAGGCATTAACATATTCCATTGTTAATGGACCGTATATTCCTATTAAAAAAATGTATTTCTGTCCTCAAATTATTGAAACAGCATTAAAAGATTTGAAGATCTCATAGCTCCGTATAGAGTAAGTTCAGTCCAAAAGGACGGTCAAGAAGCCGACGAGACAACAAAGGAATTCTCCTGGATGGTGTCTGATGAGGAATTCGAAACGTTCAAAGCGAAGGTAATTTAGGTCAAATGATGGAGTTAGGATTCAAAGACTTTAAAAAAGTTGGTTGCCTACTTGCATGCATGCTCTGGTTAAACATGTTTGTCCTGTGTTTGTGTAGTCCCTTCGACAGATCCGCCTGAATGAAGTTATTCAAGATTACTCTAGAGATGCTGCTTTGATCATTGTGTAAGTGCTTTATACAGGATGTTGTGCCATGATGTAATTTAGATTACATTTAAACAAAACCGTGATCAACCAGTTTAAGCTACGTGACTTTCTGATATCACCTGTAATTTTTCTATATTTTGTTGTTTGGCAGAACTATGCCCGTGGGGCGAAGAGGGGCATGTCCTAGTCCCCTTTACATGGCTTGGCTAGAGATCGTGTCACGTGACCTTCGACCTCCAGTTCTTCTTGTCCGAGGCAATCAGGAGAATGTGCTGACGCTCTACTGCCAGTGAACGCCACCTTTTCCTGACAAAACTGTTCACACGCGTACATCAGATGAAAAGAAACTCAACTTGTTAATGACATGTTAAAATAATGACAGATTTACATACTTTCATTTGGTTTCATATGTCCTGTGGTTAATAGGGTGTTTGTCTTAATTTGTTTAACTTTTTAATTCTCAATTCAGAATATATTTTATTTGTTTTTGCTGCTTTAGTTATGTTATGCACTTTCTCCAGAAGTAATAATTCAAACAAAAGACTGTATTCAAAGAATTTCCTCTTAAAACCACAAATTATGTGTGTAATTAGCCTAATTTACAATAATCTTTGTTGATTCTGATTATCTTAATTCAGCAATTGAACAACTTGCATATGTATATCTGAATTTTTAATAAATGACTACTTATGTATGAAATGTTTATTTTATTTTGTTTTTTATGGCATTTAGGTAAACTTAAAAAATGATTTAGTAATTAAAAAGGTGTTTAATCTGTGATCAAAATCAACTAAACTGAATAAAAATTAACCTATCTACAACGTTGATTTTAAGGGGAGACAGTAATTTTATGTTTAAACTATAGTTACTTTTCAAATTAAGTTTAATTTTATGTTGATAAGATAACAGTTCATCTCTAATAAGTCTCAAAACAAAAAAAACATGGATTTAAGCCTCGACGCCCTGGGACGTCAAAGTGTCCCATATTCGTGAACAGACATGCTCATATTTCTGTAAAACTGTACTGAGATAATAAGAAGCTCTCATAATAGCCATCTGATGCAATCACAACATTTACAGCAAACAGCGTGAAAAAAAATTCCAAAGGCTGTTTCTCAGTGCGCCTGCGCAGTGCGTGGGGCTTCAGGACAGGCTCCACGTCTGAACACGAGCTCGTCCCAGCCAATCACAGGCGGACACAGTGTGTTTGGAAACAACACACGCAAATACTTCATGGCTTATGAGCAGCCCGAAACTTCTTGAATCAGGAACCTCTACCTTTTCTTATCGTGTATTGTCCTTTTGACTAAATCGAGTCGTGAAGTCTTCGAAAATTACTGTGGATATTTTATGCGATTATTAATATAGTTCTAGTTGGTTAGATTGCGAAGGAAAAATGGAAAGTTCTAAGGTCTCGGATAAAGAGACTATCTCGCTGGTTATTAAAACGCCAAATCAGTTTCACGGTGATCAGCTGATCGAGGGAGTGCGCGTGGACTGGACCGTAAAAGACCTCAAATGTCACCTCTCCGAGGTTTATCCCAACAACCCGGTAGGTTTGGATTGGTTTCTTATTCTATCGGTATCGGGTTACATCTAGCGAGTCGTAAGCATTCCTCAACACACAACACCCAGCTAGCATGGCTGAGCAATGCAGGAAATATCTTACTGTCAATAAATCATTTGCACTCTATAAACAGAAGACGAATTTCCACCCCATTGGTCTCTGCTTTTATAATGTTAGTAAATTGTTTATCACATTATTCCTCTACTGTGTAATGTTAGTTAATTTGTATTATACGGAAGCAACTTCAGTAGCTAGGTACGTTACATGTGAAATTTGTTGTATGTTTTTATCACAAACATCTGTCATTTCAACCATTAAATTAGAGTAATATCATTGTGCAAGAACAGACGGTTACTCTTTATTTTAAGGTAACGTAGTTATATTGTACTCACTTAAATAAGTATTTAGTTATATTAATTAACTACATGTACTTACTACTTACTATAGAATTAGGGTTTGGTTTTGGGTCAGTTACTTGTAATTATGCATCATTTACTGTTATTACTATAGTAAGTACATGTAGTAACGTGTAACTACGTCACCTTGAAATAAAGTGTTACAAAACGGACTTTCTAGGTACTATCTGACGTTTGGACTAATTTTCTTTTAGGCTGAGAAAGACCAGAGACTCATTTACTCAGGCAAGCTGCTTCAGGACAACCTGCTTGTGAGAGATGTTTTCTCAAAGGTGAGGGACTTTACCATCTATGGGGTGCTTTTTTGTGTGTTTATTTCAGGGTTGACAACTGACTGCAACAGTTCACATGGGTTGCCATGTGGTTTACACTTGTTTACTTTCTACAGTATTTTATCTTTACCTGCTTCCAACTATGAAGTTTAAAAAACAATTTTTGAATTCCAACTATTTTTTTGTTAATATTTAACATTTACATATTTACATTTTAAAAAAAATCTCTGATTTGAAAACTTTATTATCATTTAAAATGATAAAATTGTATGTATTTATATTTTATGTGTATTATATATTTGAAGTATATTATTATAATATTATTATTTTATTATTAAACAAATAAAATTTTTAATTTAGTCTATGCAGGCTATTTTATAAAATACTCTTCATTATCAGTAGGAACATCCAGAAATATCTATCAAAGCATAAGCATTATTTGTGGCATTTATGGTTGAATTTACAGTAGAAATAAAGCATGGCCATGTCCCTGAAACAAAATTCAGGGTTATAGAAAAGATTCAATGTATACATTTAGCTACCCTGAAAGGTAGGGGTGTTGGCAAAACACTGATAGTTTTGTCATTGTTTATGTCAAAGCAACACCAACAAAAAAAGATTAATAACGGGTGGACCCACAGACACCTCTTGTACTGTACCCTCAGCCTGATCTTCTTACCATGTGCTCGAGTGAGTCTAATTTAAAAGCTGCTCAGAGAAACAACACTTAGCAGCCTCTCAAGCGAGTTGTGAATTTGAAAAAAGGACATTTGTTGTAACATGGCGAAAGCCTGTCACCTGATAGACTTACATGCCATCAAAGCGTGACATAGTCTCATGGTTTATACAATCTCTCAAAGCTTTCTCTTTCACAAAAGGATAGTTCCTTTGGTGTATGGCTTTGCCATCTCAAAAAGCATGTTAACTCTTGTTTCTGTCAAAAGAACTGAAAAAAAAAACTTTTTCTGCAGGTTCCTTCAGATACCAAGCCCACACTTCACCTGGTGTGTGCTGTGAGACCCCAACCTGCTGCCCAGCTAGGAGCAAGACCCAAAGTATGTTATTCCCATCTACTGTTTATATTAGGCTTTCGCCATATGGTAAGATTTAGTGCTACATGTAAAAACAGACATTCTGTTTATTTATAAGTTTCATGTCCTGAATTTAGCTCCAAGGCAATATATTTGATAACCTTACATTATGGTTCAGATGTGTGGCGGTTTACTGTCTCTCAGGGAAATGCTGTGCTTGTTCAGTTGGGTGGAGATATCACCACACAGCTGCTTACTTCCTGTTCCTTTCTGCATCCTTGTTTGCATAAACCAAATGCTGTAGCAAATTTCACATGAAGTTTCATAGTGTCTCATGCACCTGTTCTGGTTTTCCTGCTGAAAAATCAAGTGTGTTTCTTTGGTGTAGGTGACATCAACACAGCAGCAGAGTTCCCAGCACTCCCCGCTAACTGCTACCCAGAGCTCAGAGTCTCCAGGACCATCCGTGACCTCTGTACCCTCCACGGATGGCCTTAGACAGCGAGGTCATGCCGCCTGGCCTGGCACTAGTGCTGACACATCTACGTGAGTTCTTGTCTTTTGTCAAATTGAGATTCCGTGCTGTAAGTATTAAAGGTGTATGATTGTTAATGTGTAAGTTGAGTGTAACGTTAACGTTTGTCCTTCATTTACAGGCCTGTAACAGCAGCGATGACCCACCCAGCCTTCCCCACGTACTCCCTTTATAGTCCACAACAGCTTCTGTGGTTGCAGCAAATGTATGCCCGCCAATACTACATGCAATAGTAAGTACACCCTATATAGACATATTACAGTGTTGGGCTGCACTATTTAGGTAAAAAAAAAACATGTAATTGCGATTGTAAAATGAGATTAAAAAAATGAACAAAGCTCCAGGTTAGGATTCACAAATTTGGCCAATTTTTTTATTATCATCAAAGTGCCTCTATATGCTTTTTCGAATATTACATTTCATGCAATGTGTAATATAGCTGTTTGGGAACGTAAAATGTCTGCAAAGTTTTAAAGATCAAAGTGTCCCCTAAAAGAAAGAATCTATTCTGAACTGCTGAAACGAGTCGTCAACAATTCCAGTCTCACCCCCTGTTACATACCTATGTAACAAAGTACATAATGCCAGCCTATAGTCTTCATTTGCTGCCCGTGAACAACGTGCTGTCAACATGTCTAGAAGACACTGTTTTAGCGCTGCGAATCCACTTTGCATGCAGTTCAAAAGGATAAGTCTCACACTGGAATTGGCATGGAAAAACCAATGTCATTGTGCTTCCGGAGCTAAAATTCATATACAGTGATAAGCTGTAGACCAATCACAACAGATTGGGAGCCGTCTGACCATTTAGAGTACTTTCTCAGAAAGGAGGGGTTTAGAGAGACTGAATCTATGATCAAACTGTTTTCAGACTCTTTGAGAAATGTGATGTGCTATGTATATTATGAGAAAATTAAAGTGGTTTTGACCTTGCATGCATGTAAACCTATTTTAGGAGACCTCTAAAATAAAATTAGGAGCCTTTAAAATAGCATAATAGGGCCACTTTAAATGTATTATTACTATTAAATAAAAATATTAGCAAGATATGAAATATCTTATCTAGTAGTAATATTGTAAAAAATTAAGAAAATTGAGCAAAATACAATAACTAATATTTATGGCTTTCTTTAATTTCTTTATTTTCAAACATTATACCGTCAAGCTTTTATTTTTGCAGAAAAGCACAAGGAGCCCTTTAAACGTTTTCAAATGCACGTTATAAGCGACCCAAACTCTCAGCACGTGCAGAGATAGAGTTCGTGTGGAGCAGCATTTACTGTGAAATGAGCTGCTCTGAGACTCACATGTAAAAGAACACCGTGGCAGAACACAGCTTCACTCTGAAACATGCAGCGAATATATTTATTTATTTAAATCGCAGCCTTTGTGATTTGATAATCGCCAAATCACTATTTTGGTTTAAGATGACTCTTGCAGCCATATTATATCCAGACCTATCAGACTGTTGTACAACCTGTGAATGAAACGTCTGTTTGTTTCAGTCACGCTGCCATGACAGCTGCCGCCTCCGCTCCGATGGCCGCCCCTGCCGCTGCTACCTCACTACCTGTCGGCCCTCATCAAGCCGCTGTACCTGCAGCTTTACCCAATCAAGGTCCCATCAACAACCTGCCAGCCAATCAGAACGCCCCAGGTCCTGCGTTCATCAACCCAGAGGGAGCAAATCAGAATCTGAGAATGAATGCCCAGGGTGGCCCTGTGATGGAAGACGAGGAGGACATAAACCGCGACTGGCTGGACTGGGTGTACACAGCATCCCGATTGGGTGTCTTCCTGAGCATTGTGTACTACTACTCCAGCATGAGCCGCTTCGTCCTGGTCATGAGCAGCCTGGTTATTATGTACCTGTAAGTTTAAACTGAACGCCAAACGTCTATTTCGTCATTTTGAATCAGTTCATAAGAGTCATTTGTTTGGGAGTTGGACTTCTCTAAAAAGAATGAGGCCATGCTTAAAAATATTCTTGTTTGCCGTAACCCGACCGACCCTGTCAAATTAGGACCGACCCAATTATTTTTTTTTTTTCCCTTTTAGTCCGACCGACTTGCCGGTTGTAAACTTGCATTAAGACCGACCGATTTTTTTTTTACTCTTCAAACAACTAATACAAAAGCAATAAAATAATATACATTTATTATAGTAAGTATTGTGAATATAAATTGCGTAGGCTACGTTCTTTCTTTTAAATAAAAACCCGTGGCGTCATCTATTATGATTATGTTTACACCATTGGTTTACGTATGTCACACTATGGCCTGTGCGTTCGCTTCGTTTCATTCACTGTCAATGGTTCGCGCTCGGTGATGATGGCTGCGGCGCGGCTGCTTGTGAAATACGTCTGTATGAGCCTACATTTAGTCGCTCATTATTCGAAATTCTTAATGGTCAAATAGGGAATCGATGTTAACGGCCTTTTCTCGGAGCCCGTCCAGCTCGTCATGACATGCCCACCGCGAACGCGCGTCACACAGCAACTGCAGGCTCTGACTATGACAAACAAACACACATAAGTGTGGGAAGCCAAACACACCGAAAGGGGGACGAAACGGCGCGGTGTGTTACAGAGTTCGCGCTGCGCTGACTTGTAATCTGCGTGGCTCAATAGCTGGGTTTCAGTCACGTGATTATGATGACGCGCGAAATTCAGATGGAGGGCAGGGAGTGAAGAGCGCAATGGACGAGATGGAGGAAAGTCCGTACTGTACTACTTTACACGCTATTACAAGAGAAAGATATAAACAAAAAATCAAACATATGTTGGACGTGATCCTTACGTTATGAAGAGGAGCGATTTTCAACTGAATTGAAAGATTTTCCTGCCATCGAGGCGGTAGATATCAGCAACTACCTCATCTTACAGACATACTTTGACTTTACAAAGTTCGGAAACGTTACACATTACACAAACATAGCCACTTAAGTTGTATTAACTTACATTTGATGAAGTGATCACTGCACACACGGGCATTTTCCCATTCGGCTGCTCCCGACCGCAGACGTAGGTTTGCAAGCCGTTTTCCCGGAGTTTTCCGGTTAATTTCTTGCATTTTCCCCCTTATGAACAACAACTTTTGGTACACGATAAAACCTCCTCGTGGTTTGATCGATTTAAGTAACCATAAACGACGCAAGACATGCATTTTGAGTTTGTTATAGTGCTTTCTAAATACAGCAAATCACTTCCTGCCCTCCATTTGCATTTCGCGCCATGGCAACGCAGTGTCGTGACGTCATATGAAAACAAGCTATGGACCGAGACGCGCGAGCGCGACAGACTCGACAGCGCAGGAGAAGTGTTTGCTTGCGCCAGCCAATGGTCAGAGCGGCGCGAATTAATCTCACCAGCGCCGCGCTGACCAATAAAACAGCACATCCCATACCGAAATGTACTAAATTGCACAAAAGAAAATCGACCATTCCATAATATGTCAGGACTACTTAATCGGCCTATAGTTTCCTACAATGCGCCTAGCTATTTGACCACACTGATTTCCGTTAATAATAGCAGATGTTTATGGGTCAAATCTCTCACTCTCTCCCTGCAACTTTTTGTTACCCTCCTTTCCTGCCCCTAGACCAGAAAGGGGGCTTGTAACAGTATGGGTCAAATGTAAACGAATGGTGCCAAACGCGCTGTTTTATTGGTCGGCGCGGCGCTGGTGAGATTAGTCATTTTAATTTATTTGTTTCCCTCTGAAAATCCACTTTCATTGAAATCTAGTGGCTCCTTTTTTTCTTTTGATTCTGCCTATTTTTTTCCAAATGAATGCAGCTGGAATTAATGCAATAAATATGTTTTTTTTTTTTTTACAAAGATTTCAAATTGTTTGTGGTCTATAACCTGTATCAGAATGAGGTTCGCAATGGTGCGCCCGAAGGCATGGGGGTTGAAGACCCAGTCAGTGACGTCACGATATGCAAATTTGTTTAAATTCATACCGACCTAATCACCATGACCAAAATTATCCTTTTTTTTTTTACATTGAATCTTGAAAAAAAAAAATATAGACCTACCTACCGAGCCTTTTTTTTTTTTTTTTTTGCTGTTACTGCAAACCAAAATATTTTTAAGGATGGCCTGAGTTGAAGTTCGTGCTGTATGTTTTTGATTCACTAAAAAGAACTGGTTCATGCAGGTTATTTGTTTAGGGAATTGGACTACACTGTTCACACTGGTTATTTTTAGTGAAACAAAAACAATCAGTTCATAAGAGCCATTTGTTCAGGGAATTGGAATACACTGGTTGTGCTGTATGTTTTTGATTCACAAAAATGAAACGCCTCATAAGAATCATTAATTCAGAAATCATTCAGTTTGGTAGCACTGTATGTTTTGTGTTGCTGCGCCCCTGAATTATAGAGCAGGTATCTCTGTTTGAGTGTTTTAGTATGTTTTATTGTCCACATCAGTGGAAGAATGCAAGTGTGACATCCATTAATAAACACAGATACACACTCAGTTAGATGAAAGGAACGGTAGCTTATGCAAGCAAAAATTAGCAGAAGGACGCAGGATTCTCCCTGATCAGAAAGAAAATCTTCCTGTACATGACTGCTGATTGGTTGGTGGCATTCTGGGACTTTTTTTGTTGAGCTCCAGCTGTTATTACTGATAACAATTAACTTCTGATACTTTATCTCTGCAAACGTGGCAGTTTGACTGCTCTGCAGACTAGTGCGTAGCACTCCAGCAATATTTAGCTTGATCTGAGGGTGTCAATGTTATGGCCTTATCTTGATCCACCCTACTGTACAAACAGTTTGGGCGTCCTCTCGTGATTTAGTAATGTATGAATGAGCACAGTTGAGGTGCTAATGGCTGACTATTTTAAAATAAATTGTGTAATTTTAATGGAAATGGAGCTCATGGAGGCCTGATTCCCTTTTTGAAGCTATTCTTATGGTTCTTTTTCTCTCTTTGAATCAGACACACAGCAGGCTGGTTTCCTTTTAGACGGAGACCCCAAGCCAGGCCTCACAATCAGCCAGCACCAGAGGTCATACAGAACCAGCAGAACCAAAATGAGCTCAGACATCCAGAACCAGTGAGTCATAGTTTCTGTTTAAGAAAGAACATAAGAACTAATTATACTTGGATAAGTGGCGTGTGTAGGCATGTGTGTGATTTTAATAATTCTCATTTTCTCCTGAAGGTGCCGCCCCCTGCTGAAGTGGAGGATGCCGAAGTTGTTGAACCCGTCATGATAGCAGTGCCTGTTACCCCAGTTAGACGACCCCTCCTATGGACAGCCTGGGTGTTTTTCAAAGCCTTTTTCGCTTCTTTGATACCTGAGGCTCCACAGGGCATTGCAAACTGAATTGGAAGCAGTCGGACTGAAACGACAAAACTGGACCTTGGCTTGACCATTTAGACGGGACATTATACATGAAGGCTACAAGTACTAGAAATAGTAGCACTTTCCAGTCCTTTGCCTATGTGAACATTGGTTGCACATTCTGTATAAACATGGACATGGAGTTGTAAATATTGCTGGACAGTTTTTGCTTAGCACTTTAGATAACCACACCGGCTGGAATCAATGGTATCAGTCTCCTGGCCTGATCCTCTTATAGGCCCCTGTCACCAGGGCTTCATTCTCTTGAAATGCTCTACGATGAGGGATCCAAGGATTAAACTCATGGGATTATTTTATTAAGGTTCTAGTATAATGGACAACGAAGGCCATACATTGATTTTGCATGAATAGATGGAGGGTGCTTGGGAGAATGCATTTGTGGCACTTTGAAGCTAATGGTGTTTATGCAAGTTAAATATGCTTACATGTGCTCTTTTTTTAAATTGTATTCAACCTGTGAAATGAATATTGTTAATATTTATGAAGAAGGTTTGGTATGCGTTCAAGTAGTTTGAGCAGAATTTGCAATTTAAAGAGCACCAGTGTTTGCTGTTGACTTTGGGATGAAACAAAGGCGAATGAATTTCAATGACGTGCAATTTTGCATTTTCTTTACACAAAGGAACTGCACTTTGGTACCTGCAAGAGTGGGGGACAGAAATTAGGACAGGTATGGTTCTGAGAGACTAAAAAATATGTTTTTAATCTGGTATTTATCAACACTGTAGCATTGCTGTCATTTAATTGTATGTATAAAATAGCATTGTTTATTAACATTAATAAGATTCTCTTTGTACCAGAAAATGAAACAAGAAATAAACAACTTTGTTTCAATTTCATATTGAAATTCTTTGAAAAGTGTAATAGAAATGTGAGCTGAATTCTGTTTGTGTAGCATAGGTTTTCTCCTATGTTTAGATTTTATTTTTGGGCTTTTTTTAAATCCATTTTAGGTTTTTACCTTTAGCCACATGCTACCAGTTTATGTACAAGTACTTAAAAAAAATTATTTCAGTTTCAGTACACACTTTTGTCCAACTGAAATGGTATTATTGAGATTTTTGCAAGTCGCATTACAATTGGCATCTGTGTTGTGTGTATTCCAAGCAAGAATGGCAATTTTTTTAATTGTTTAAATATTTGATAGTGTGCGGTCATGTCACACACTGGCTTGACTTGATAATCCAGACAAAGAAGCTTGACGCAGATGAAAGGTAAAATCATATTTAATAAATAAAACTTCTACACAAGACAAATAACTGAGAGATTAAATACACAGTGGCAATGAGGGAGCTAAACAGGAAAAGGGAAACTAGGTAAAAACGGAACAGAAAGAACTTCAGTCCCAAAATAAATAGACCAAAATCGTGACACATGTAGCCTATATTTGGACAGACCGATGAATAATATATTGATGAATAGAATACTTAACTACACAGAAACCTATCGTGGCCCGATTATAATATGTATGCCTAAGCATACTCAACTGTCTGTTGACTTGCATCTGGTAAGCATCATATCTTGTTTTGTATGGCTTATTCATTTCTAAAGCCACTTCCTGTGGACTGTGGTGATGACGTCCAGACGTATTTCTATTATTTTATCTACATAACTGTCCATTTCGGGGTGTCCTATCTGCACTTTACGCCACCGCCTAAGAGCTTGTCCACCCCTATGGACTTTGGCCTGCTCTTGTCCACTCTGTCCTATCTCTTATTTGTTTTGAATAGCAGAATGTCCAGAAAAACATTCCTGTGCCCGGTTTACTGTCCTCCAATAACCTTGAGAAACATTTGTTAGTCGACCCCAGGGACAGTTGCATGTTCTCCTCTGTTCTCAAGAAGAGAGGCACTGCAAATCAAACATTACAGGCCCTGTCCACCCCCTCTTCCTTTGGGCCTACCTCTGAATCTGTCCCTCCTACTCAGATACTCGCTGAAAGAAAACAGCTCTTTTAAAAGAGAAGCCCTAATAACATTAAGAGAGAGCGGCTCATCTGTGTCCATTCAGACTTTGTTGAGATGGAGAGGAGTACAGCGTTGCTCCTTTTTATCGCTCTGGTGAAAATAAGTAGTTGTTGTCTGGATCCTCCCTCTGCCTACAGGTTTACAGGAGCTGTTTGTAGACTTACCTATCCTGCAGCTGTTGTCCGTAAGTATTCTCTCAGTTATTTCTGTACTAGTCAGACTTTGTTTGTAAGTGAGTATATGTTTTGATATTCATTATTTTGGAGCAGAATTCATTCAAAGCAAGCAGAGTGCAAAATAATGGTAATATAATTAAAGCAAGAAAAAAACAAGGCCAAGAGTTGTAGTCAGTACTAAGCTTGAGGTTAAGGTTTATTTTTAAGGCGACAGTTCACCCAAAAAAGAAAATTTTGACATCATTACTCACCCTTATGTTGTCAAATAATACAATCCGTGGAGCTGTTTTAACAATGGTCCTGGTCAGTTTTTTTCCATGCTATTGCAATGCATAGTAACAGGAGCTTAGTTTCAAAACCGTTATGGAGGTTGAGACTTCATAAATTGAACAATGCTGCTACTTTTCTCCTGAACATGCTAAGTTGATGGCAGATGTCCATTAGTCTAATACACTCAAAATGGCATGAATGAACTGCAAAAATAGTGTAGGAACTGTTAGTACTAACTAGATAGCAAAAAAGAGGGTATTTTGTTTCAAAATGATAGTTTTATAAATAACTTCAAACATTATCAAGACTTCCTCTTCTCATGCAGAATAAATGATAGTATCTGTTTTAGATAGTTAATGTATTAAGCATGAAAGAGATGTCATGCTGTGTAACATGCTATATATATCATTTAAACCACTTAAAGCATAGCATATTTGTGTAATATGTAGATTCTGAAATAAATAATGATAGCAAGACTATTCAAGTGCACAAGAACAGCATAAATACAATTATAAATAACATTATTAAGAAAAATGGAGGAGACATTTAAAACCTAACATATTCACTTATAATCAGTGTTAAGGGAAAGTTACTTTTAAAAGTAATGCATTACAATATTGCGTTACTCCCAAAAAAAGTAACTTATTGCGTTACTTAGTAACTTTTTATGAAAGTAATGCGTTACATTACTTTTGCGTTACCTTTTCTCACCTGGGCTGGGTTTGCTTGTTTGTTTTTTAATAACAACAAAAAAGTAATATTTTTGGCAAATGTTAAGGCCCTTTCACACCAAAAGTGAAATAATAAGCCCCGGGCTGAAGGAAATGCATATTTACGTCAGTACAGTAGAGGGCATCGCTCAAACAAACATTTCAGCCATTCTGGATTAAAGAACAATAGGATACAGGAGAAGGAAGTTCAACACTCTTATTTCTAAATATAATCTAAAGTAATTTTTGCTTATTAGTATGGTTGAATTAGATCATTGAAGGTCAGCAGCAAAGACATTTGTTAATAAAGTTAGATGAAATACATGAAGTATATTTGTGTAATTTAATGGGGACAGGAGAGCTGTCAGTCAATAAATGTGAAAAAGTATACCTATTTGAAAAAGTAACTTAGATATTTTGTTGTAAATTTGACCTAAAATAAAACTAAAGTTCTAAACTTAAAAACTTGTACAAGGATTCTCAAAGGTTTTTTTGGCAGCCAAACCACTTTAACTTATAAATATTTACTTGAAGTACCCCCTGAAATTGTATCTAATATTTCAATTATTTAACAACAGTCACTTGTTCATAGTTTGTTGATTAATGAATAAAATATTCAGGTTAACAAATAAAATATTTAATCTTTTTATGTTTTAAATTATAGTTTGTTTTTATTTGAAAAATAAATCAATTTTAAATGTTTATGATTTCATTAATTATTAGCTTCTCATCAACTCATAAACCCCATGAGAGTTTGGGAAACCCTTGACTAGAGAATAAATATATCCCTGCCTTGATTCCTCAGTGAATGAGAAGACCACTGAAGTCATACAGGCCGCTTTTCAGCATGCCAAATATCCCAGCGTAGAGGGAGAGCGATCAATTGGCTTTGGGACAGTGAAATATGGATTCCACAAGTAAGGAACTCCTGCAGCAATTTTATGTAACATTCTGTATCTTATGACACTCTTCTTTCCTACATCACCCACAGCTTAGAGATCCATAACCTTTCCATTGGAAAGAGTGAGTTTGAGCTGAAAGAGAATGAAGGAATTGGGATCTCCATTTCAAATGTGTCTGCTGTATTCAAAGGGACCATCAACTATGGATATGGCAGCTGGCTGTGAGTGTTTCTATTTATTACCAGGATCAGGTTGCTGCAATAGCACAGCTGTGGTTTAACCCTGTGCTCTATTCTACATATGTTTTTGTAAAACAGTGGTCTTTTGTTTAACCTCTCAACACGCAAAGATCTCCGGCGGCAGATTATTGCTGTTCACATTGCTTCACTGAACAGCGTTCATTAGGGTATTTAGTCCAAAAGTGCTCCTATCTGGAGAAAGTTCTTCAAGGTTTCTTCCAGTCAGCCTGTAATAACAAATTACATACACTTACATTTCAGTTACATTTCATTATTTTCACACGTGTGTGTGTGTGTGTGTGTGTGTGTGTGTGTGTGTGTATATATATATATATAATATATGTATGTATGTGTGTATATATACACTCACCTAAAGGATTATTAGGAACACCATACTAATACTGTGTTTGACCCCCTTTCGCCTTCAGAACTGCCTTAATTCTACGTGGCATTGATTCAACAAGGTGCTAAAAGCATTCTTTAGAAATGTTGGCCCATATTGATAGGATAGCATCTTGCAGTTGATGGAGATTTGTGGGATGCACATCCAGGGCACGAAGCTCCCGTTCCACCACATCCCAAAGATGCTCTATTGGGTTGAGATCTGGTGACTGTGGGGGCCATTTTAGTACAGTGAACTCATTGTCATGTTCAAGAAACCAATTTAAAATGATTCGAGCTTTGTGACATGGTGCATTATCCTGCTGGAAGTAGCCATCAGAGGATGGGTACATGATGGCCATAAAGGGATGGACATGGTCAGAAACAATGCTCACGTAGGCCGTGGCATTTAAACGATGCCCAATTGGCACTAAGGGGCCTAGAGTGTGCCAGGAAAACATCCCCCACACCATTACACCACCACCACCAACCTGCACAGTGGTAACAAGGCATGATGGATCCATGTTCTCATTCTATTTACGCCAAATTCTGACTCTACCATCTGAATGTCTCAACAGAAACCGAGACTCATCAGACCAGGCAACATTTTTCCAGTCTTCAACTGTCCAATTTTGGTGAGCTCTTGCAAATTGTAGCCTCTTTTTCCTATTTGTAGTGGAGATGAGTGGTACCTGGTGGGGTCTTCTGCTGTTGTAGCCCATCCGCCTCAAGGTTGTGCGTGTTGTGGCTTCACAAATGCTTTGCTGCATACCTCGGTTGTAACGAGTGGTCATTTCAGTCAAAGTTGCCCTTCTATCAGCTTGAATCAGTCGGCCCATTCTCCTCTGACCTCTAGCATCAACAAGGCATTTTCGCCCGGACTGCCGCATACTGGATGTTTTTCCCTTTTCACACCATTCTTCGTAAACCCTAGAAATGGTTGTGCGTGAAAATCCCAGTAACTGAGCAGATTGTGAAATACTCAGACCGACCCGTCTGGCACCAACAACCATGCCACGCTCAAAATTGCTTAAATCACCTTTCTTTCCCATTCTGACATTCAGTTTGGAGTTCAGGAGATTGTCTTGACCAGGACCACACCCCTAAATGCATTGAAGCAACTGCCATGTGATTGGTTGATTAGATAATTGCATTAATGAGAAATTGAACAGGTGTTCCTAATCCTTTAGATGA